AAAAGAAAAGAAAAGAAAAGCTAGAGACATGGAGAGCCGATGCATAGTTCCAACCTCAGTCCCAAAGCCTGAGAACTAGGAAAGGCAATGATCTAAGTTTCAGTTTGAAAGCCAGCACGTTCAAGACCCCCAAATAATCAATAAATAGTTCTTTTCTTTTAAAAATCATTTATTTAATTTTATTTATTCACTCATTTATTTTCATTTGACCAGAGAAAGACAGACACACAGAGAGAAGGAAAGTGAGAAAGCAAACCACCAGGTCTGGGAATCGAACTGTGGTCAGCCATGTGGGAGTGTCCAGTGTCTTAACCACCATTCCACGTGCTGGCCCAATAAATAGTTCTTCGATTTGAGTCCAAAGGCTGAAAATAATCAATGTCCCAGCTCAAACAGTCAGACAGAAATTCTTTCTTACTTAGCCTTTTTTGTTCTATGCAGATCTTCAATGGACTGGATGAAGCCCACCCATAAAACAAGGGCTTCCCGCTGTAGGTCTACCAGTTCAATGTTACTCTCATCCAGAAACACTCTCACAGGTACACTCAAGATGGTCAACCAAATAAATGGACCATCACAAGTGCACTCCTCGCTAGCTTGACACCATACACATCTCCAAATAAAGACAATAACAAAGTCTAATTCTATCCAATATGATGCAGCTGTCTTCATATAACTACCCCTACGAGGTAGTCCTTGAGAGATGTTTATTCTTCCCGTTGATAACCCACTGTTTAAATCCTAAGATATAAAATTAACAATACTTAACTATTAGATAAAAGTCATTTATCTAAGATGATAAAATAAAAAAGGAAAGAAGATAAAGTAATTGTACACATAAACACATATTAATAACATAATGAGGAATAGTCATAATAATTACAGTCCTCATTTCTGTAAATAGTCACATAGCTATAGCTGGTATTTTTAACTATCTTTTTAAATTTTTAAATTTTATTTAACTTTATTTATTTATTCATTTATTTATTTTAATTTGATCAGAGATAGACAGAATGAGAGAAACAGGGAAAGCAAGGTGCCAGGTCCGGGACTCAAACCATGGCCAGTCATGTGGAAGTCCAGCACTCTTAACCACCATGCCACCTGCCAGCCCCACTGTCTTCTTTTTTATAAATTTTATTTTTAGAGAGAAGTTTTTGCTATAGGGTGAGTGCGCTCGCCAGAGAGACAGAAAGTGAAATATCATCTCAACTTGTGCTTTTTCTGCTCCAGTGGTGAAATCAGCCATTTCTCCAAAGACCCTTGACTCCTTTCAGTGGAGAATGGTATTTAGAAGGCAAGATGTGGGCACTATGTGTGTTCATTACTATTGAGGTGCCTTTGCTTCTAGGTTTTCTCAATGGATAGAGCCAGGTGGAATGCACACACACACAACACACACACACAAATACATACATATATACATATACATGTATACACACATACACACATAGACATAGTGTATATGTGCCCATACACTTGCATATAAATGTATGCATATACATACAGCTACACATACATTTACATCTATTTTATTTCTTTTTTTAAATTTTTTTTTGGAGAGGTTTTTCGCTATAGGGCACATGCGCTCGCCAGACAAACAGAGACATAGAGACAGAAAGCGAGAAATCACCCCCCAGGGGGGATGGTCACGCCGCAATCCCTTCTCCTCCATTCTCCTCTCAGGATCTTGGGCACGCACGCACACATGCCCGGCGTGAGTTTTAAGCCACCGGGTCCGGGACGCGAACCGCGGTCGACTATGTGGGAGTCCAGTGACATAGCCATTATGCTAACTGCTGGTTCCCTATCTATATTATTTCTATGTCTGTTTAAGAACATGTATGAGTGTATATATATGTGTATATACATATATATATACAAAAATTTTTTTAGGTCTTTACCATAGGGTGAGTGTGTTTGCCAGAGACAGAGGGCAAGTGAGAAATCACCCCCATGGGATGAGAAACTCAACTCTCATTAATATATTTACTTATTCAATCATCCCTCTGAATGTAAGCAATCTTCCAGTCCCTGCTGCTTCCTCCTATCCTGCATGGAAACCCTTCTTATCCTACTCAGGATCCAACACCCTGAGGCTGCCTCCCTCTTTCATTGGAAGGTCCTCATCTAACTTGGGCTCTGACCCATGTCTCTGGGCCTTTGACACCCAGACCCGCCAGGCACAGATGCTTTCCCTGCTCTACTTGACCTCAGTACAGAATTATTCCAAAAAAGGAAAGGGAAAGGAAAGGAACAAAAGGGAGTCCATAGTTTCTTTCTTCCTTTTTATGCTTTTGCTACAGGGCACGTGCTCTGGCAGGAGAGAAACACAGAGACAGAGAGTGGGAAAATGATAAATCTCTCCCCATGGGGAATGGCCATGCTGCAATCCTTTCTCTTCCTTTTGGGATTCTGGGCACATGCACACACACATCAAGCATGATTTTCAAGCCACAGGGGCTGGGACTTGAACTATGGTAGACCATGTGTGAATCCAGTGCCTTAACTACTACCACTCCACCTGCTGGCTCCGGGTCCATAATTTCCTTAACATGCCCTTTTAACCCATCCTGTTACTATTACAAATAATATTGCAAAGTATAACAGTGACTGCATAAAGTTAGTTTAAGATACATTCCTGGAGGTGACCTTGCTGGGTCAAAGACTACGTGCATTTGTAGTGTTGTTTCTGCCTACATTGCTTTTTCACAGAAATTTAATAATTTACATGTAAGAATGGCAATATTGTTTGTTTGTTTGTTTGTTTATTTATTTATTTATTTATTTTTAGTTTGCTATTGGGCACATGTGCTCAACATAAAGAGACAGAGAGAACAAGAGGGAAAGTAAGAAATCACTCCCCTAGGGGGATGCTATGCCACAATCCCTTCTCCCATCTTCCTTTTAGGATTTTTGGGCCTTCATGCACATGTGCCTGAAATGATTTTCAAGCTGCTGGATCCAGGATTGGAACCTTGCTATAGTCTATGTGGGATCCATCTGCCTTAACCTCCACAACACCTGTTGGCCCCAAAGTGGTAATTCTAATATACAGAAAGGCCTAGAAGTTACATGATAACATCTGAGAAGAATAAGGCAACTTATTTTTCTCTTTCGGAAATACATTTATTGTTACACAAATAAAATTTCTTACTCTTTTGTTTCTTAGTAGCAAAAATAAAACAATTTAGCTATAAAAACTAAACAGTTAGGATTAAGAGTAGTGATAAAAGTCCTTAGAAATTAGGACCCTAAGCTAAATAAAAGTTGGTGCAACAGTGTGCAATTTTCAAGGCAAAAATGATTACCCTGGAAAGCAAGACCACACAAAAAAACTGGGAAGGAATTTCTCTACAGACTTGTTAGTCAGATACTTGTCAGAAAATTGTTTTCCAGGTCATCAGCTTGAATGCTTTTTACAGCCCAGCAGTGGTATTATTGTAATGGCTGTGTCGCTGGACTCCCACGTAGTCGACCGCGGTTCGAGTCCCTGACCTGGTGGCTTAAACTCATGCCGGGTGCGTGTGCGTGAGTGCCCAAGGTCCCAAGAGGAGAATGGAGAAGGGATTGCGGCATGGCCATCCCCCCTGGGGGGTAGTTTCTCACTTTCTGTCTCTCTGTCTCTCTCTCTCTGGTGAGTGCACACACCCTATAGCAAAAACCTCTCCAAAAAAAGAAAAAAAAAAAGAGTGTCCTCTGTGACTGCCCTGGGCATGAGAGAAACTGGATGAGTGTGTTGCTGAATGGTCGTCCAGGATTTTCCAGGATCAGCAGTGGCCACTCCAGGACCAGACGAGGGTGGGTACAGTTCCTACAAGGCAGATGTGTCAATTAACATTCATTCAATAAAACTGGAAATTCAGCTCCTCAGTCACAGTAGCCATATTTAAAAGGCTCAAAAGCCACATGTGAGCCAGTGGCTACCCTAGTAACACAGATGTGGAATATTTCCATCATCCTAAGTAGGAAGTTCTATGGGCCAGTGTAGACAGTTGACAGTTTAAAAAAAAAAAAAAGGCTTGGAAACCAGTAGGTTCCACTACCAGTAACAATCAACAGATGTTGATATTATTCTATTAAGTTGGTATTACATTATTTATTAAATATGCATAATAAACTTATCATATATTATATGTTTTAAAGTTAATATTATACTATCTTCCCAAATACGATGAGGAAAAAAATTATGCTAAGAAACTACAAAGCTTCTTGTAGCACCTGCTGGCAGGCTTTCTCTGGGAACTCACTTCGCAGTAATTTCCACCACGGAGGATGACCAATCAGCGACGTGAAGAAACTCCACAGACTTCTAGGACCAAAAGCAAAAAACAAAACAAACAAACAAAAAAACCCAAAACAAAAACAAACCACAACAAAACAGAAAAACAGAGCGCATTCGAGGACTACTTCCTTCGGGATTATTGCTGAACTCAAAGCGCCGGCGCCGGGCCTCCGCGCGCAGAGCCCTAGAGCTCCGCTCTGGCGCGGGGCGGGGGCGGGGCCGGGAGG